TGAGGGCTATACCCAGGACTGGATCACTAGTACCAGTCCCATGCCCCTTCCACAGAGCCACAGAGCCTAATGGTCCAGAGCCTTGAGCAGCGGGGTGGGGGATGGGATCCCCAGGAGCCTGGAATCTTACTTCCACCCCTCAGCAGCACCCCCAAGGGGCGAACTAGCCACTTTTCCCCAGACTGATGCCAAGTCTCTTCACCTACCTGATAATCCAAAAAGTACTGAGCCTGGAAGCTGCCAGGAAGTAAGAAACAAGAGAATTCAAGACTTCCACGTGATGGTGGGGCCAGGCAGACAAGTCACCCCAAAAGTGACTTGCACGCCATGGCTTCCTCTCAGTGCTGCTCTGTCTCCGCAGGTCTCCCCAGTGCTCCGAGACTTCCTGGAACGGATGCTGGTACGGGACCCCCAGGAGAGAGCCACGGCTCAGGAGCTCCTGGACCACCCTTTCCTGCTGCAGACGGGGCTGCCCGAGTGCCTGGTGCCCCTGATCCAGCTCTACCGCAAGCAGACCTCCACCTGCTGAGCCCACCCCCAGAGGGCTGCACCCATCACCTATGCCCACAAGCAGGGGACACTGGGCAGCCAGCCTGCCGGCAGGGCCTACCTGCCTCATTCTCTCAGTATTCTCTCCAAAGATTGAATGTGAAACCCCACTCACCCCCTCCTGCCCTTCAGCCCACTGGGCCAGGCCGGACCTGCCCCTTGGTCTCTCTCCCTCCCAAGAGGGTCCCCAGTTGCCTTTGGGATGATGGAGACCCCTTCTACAGGATGACCCCTTTGTTATTTGCACAGGGATATTTCTAAGAAACGTGAAGACCAGCACTCCTGGCCACCGTGGCCAACACAGCAGAAAAGGCTGCTGCAGTTTTTTTTTTAAAGGTTGTTGTACACTAGCATCCCAGGCCACCCAAGAGGGCAGACTGCCTGTCTTCACCAGGATACTTGCTGTTCTCACTTCCAACTCTAAACCCTGGGGTCTTGAGAGGGCCACAGGGAAGGTTTCTATTGCCTGAAGCTGTCTTCCTCCCTCGTGTCTGACTTCCTGAAGGTACAGTCCGACCTGCACCTATTTCCCAGCCCACCTGCACTGACTCACTGTCCCTGCATAGCCCGCCCTGAACTGTGAACAGCCTGATCGCGGGCCAGGGAAGGAGGAGGAGCATTTTTCTGGGTGTAAGAGGAAGAACAGAGCTGGTGGTAAATGTGGTCTCACTTTATAGGATGAAGAGACCATCATGTGTGTGTGCGTGCGTGTGTGTGTGCGTGTGTGAGTGTAAGTGGAGGATGGTCACCCCGACAGCCTGGCTCCCTCTAGGTCACCCACAGCCAGCTTCAGTAAGGCTTTCCCATCCTTTCTGCCACTAAGTTCTCCTCCGAAGGGACCTGCTTTCTTGGCCTGGCTTCGCACCTCCTAAGTCCCTTGTCTCTACCTGACCCGAGAGGAGATCTGCATTGAGTCTAATGTATCCCAGGGCCTTGGCAGATTTCCAGGTCTCTCCTGTAGTGTTGAGTCTGAGGGCCAGAGACAGGAATGGTGAGGGACAAACTTTGTTTTATCTGTAAGCTTCATCTCAGTAGCCAGGTCATTGAGGACCGGTTCTTTTCAAACTCTTGGTCTGGGGGAGGTGAACCACCTCCTGGAGTCCCATCCTGTCAAGAAATGGGCCCTTCCTTCGTGCAAACCATCTGCCCTAGCTGCCTCTTCAGACCCCCGTGTCCTTGTCCCCTTCCCTCCCCACCTTCAGGGATGTTGCCAGTCAGGGAATCCAGGGAAGAACTCCAGGTGTCAGGACCCTATCTAGATAATATTTTTAGATTCCTCTGCTCCCTAGTGGCCTGCTTTGGGGCCAAAAAAAAAAAAATTGCAAGGACTTTTTTAAAGGGTCAGAGTTTTAAAAACAAAAGCATCTTCCCTAGAAACTTTTGTGAATTGTTTGCACTTGTGCCTGTTTTAAATTAAACTGAGTGTTCAAAACCTCTGGGCTGTTGTCTCTGAGAATGGAGCCAGGCCATCTTCAAGCTGGATGCCCTATAGTGGGGGTGTCTGGTGTGACCCCCCAACCCCCAGCAGTCACTCAAGTCCACAAAAAAACCAACTCCCTGGTGGCATGTGGGCCCAGGAGGGCAGATAAGGAGGGAAACAGGAAGTGAAAGGCCCTTGGGACTGAGAGAGCTGAGAAAGAGCCAGAGCTCTCCTTCCCAGGGAAGAAGAACCCAGCCAGGAAAGGCAGGGCCATATGCTATGCTTGCTGGTACCACCGGGGCTCTGGGGGCAACCACCCAGGCTGATGACCACTTTCTGCATTGGTGTCTCCCTTTTCCCTTTTGCTTCTCACTCCAAGGAAAGTCAGAGGCTCCCCTCTCCAAGTTGTCCATAGAAAGTGGCCTGAGCTGCTTCCGTGAGAAAGCAGTCGCTTTTTCGGTTCTCAGAACTGAGCGGTTGTGAAGGAGCAGTGCAATGGCTGGAAATCAAGAGATCTTGGTTCTAGCCCTGCGGGTAGGGGAGATGGAGGGCATTCGCTTTAAACTTCTAGCTCTGACACTGATTCCAGCACTTCCTTCCTGAGAATTCATCCTCCCACCAGCCCAGGGTTCACCGAAATCTCTCCACCAACCTCCAGGAGTCCTGCAGACTTTCTCCTGCTCCCCACAGCAGTGCCACCCAGACAGCCACCCTAGGCTGAGGGTCCCACTGAGTTGGTGGAGGCGGTACCCAAGTCCTTCCCACAGGGGACAGCCACAGTGCACAGTGGGACAGGCAAAGATGGAGGCTGATGGAAGGCAGAAGCTTTGCAGGAAGGTAGCACACCCTTCTGCCACTCGAAAGGGAGCCTAGAATCAGGAACAGCTGGTAAGGCAAAGAGAGGCCAGGTCTTGCAACTGAATAATACTGGATTTATTAACTATTCTTCCGAGTTCTAATAGTCCTTCTGCCACACAGTGTCACTCCAAAAGCAGGCATGTATGTCATTTAGCCTCCCACACAGACTAGTTCTGAGCTTGATGTTGGGGTACTGAGATCCAGTGGCCTGCGTGAATCTTCACAATGATGAAAGCAAACAAACAAGTCGGAAAAGAAAACCGTTAGGACAGTCTCTTCCAAAGTGGAGTGAGCTAGGGAAGACCCCAGCCTCAAAGCCCTGGGGCTGACAATGAAAAAGAAGTGCAGGGGAGCAAAACGCGGTGACCTGTGCAAAGTTCTGCACACAAATGGGCCTAGTAAGAATTCTGCAAGAACAGCAAGTCAGTCAAACACAATTCAGTGCAGACAGGAAAGATCTGCTGTGGTTTTTAAGAAACACTGCTTTCAACCACCAAGCCCTTGGCAACTCAATGGAGAGGAGCCCTCCTCGTGGTTGTTTACTCGATATGGAAGGCCCTGGGGAGATGAGGGGGTTGGGGTGTCACTGAACCAGAAAGCCACAGGTGAGCAACGTTTGAAAGATGACAGCACCTTCTACCTAATGTTCAACCCAGACCTCACGGCGTCCTGAAGAAGCCAAATACTTTTATCCCTACACCATTAAAAACTCCGTGAAAATTAAACACAGAAAGGGAGTAAGTGAGCAAGCAGGGGTCAGGAAAAAAAGAGAGTTTGTACTTGGGATGTCCAATTATCCCCCATCCCACCCCCAGATCCTCTCCCTCGGGCTTTTCAGGTGCTTCTGTATTGTCCACCCACCACCCAGACAGTGGGACTGACCAGAGGCAAATGTGTGGGGAGGAAGGTGTAAGGGGAGGGCAAAACACCCTCAAAACGAAAACAAACTTCATCAGAAGGGGTCAGTGCAGATCCCAGGTTTCAGAAACTATAAACAAGGGGCTGGAAACTCCTGTTTCTCAGAACAGAGCAGGTGCTCTCTGGACATGGGAGCCTTAACTTGGAAGATCCTGGGGCTCCTGCTACTCCAAGTCCGAGCGATCTGTTCATTGTCCCTCACTCCATTGCGGGGAAATGACTTCAAGTATCCGGATTTGACATACTACGAGAGGCAAAGGATTCCGTGGGCAAATGCACAAGGGCGGGGAGAAGCCAGGGCGCCGCGACGAAAGCGCGGCGCTGCCACCAGGGGGCACCAGAGATCACGTCCGGTGCTGGGTCGCGGGGAGGGCGCGGCCTCGCCGACCTCGGAGGGCTGGGGGGTCGGGAAGCTGTGACACCTCCGCCAGGCCCGCTCGCCTCCAGGCCCAGTTTCTCAGCACCGACCATTCTCGCTCTGGGCCCTTCCTTAGAGTTATTGGTGAGAAGCCTTCCGTCCTGCGAATGCATATGGATCGACGTCTTGAAAAGACCCCCAGACGGGGCGGGGGGGAGGGGGTTCGCAGATAGAGCCCCCTAAGCGCCGACCACCCGCGGGCTCCTGGGGCACGTGCTCGCCAGGCCCGCCCGGAGAGCGGGGAGGGGCGGGCGCCGAGGTGGGACCAGGCCGGGGAAGGGCCTTTAACCGCCTCCGGGCGGCTGCCTCGGGCTCACTCATCTGCCCGCTACCGAAGCGGGGCCGGGCTGCGTCCCACGGGCCGGGCCGGGCCGGGGCAGGGGTCCTTGGTCTCGACCTCCGGCATCCCGCATCCGCCCGGCCCCCCATCAGCCGCCCAGCGAGAAGCAGGAAGCCTTCCACAGCCGCCTTCCAGCTTTCGCAGGAGTTTGATGTAATTTAAACCCGGACCTGCGGCTCGTGTGGGCTTCCCGACTCCCGCGCGCCGCCGCTTAACGTGGCAAACACTTCAGTCAATTATCCCCCTCGCAGAGCTTCTATTTAAAGAGACATTGTCAGGTTCTTAAGCCTCGGATCAGACCCGCTGCTTTTCTGCTTCTTATACAAAGACTCGAAAACACGAGTTCTCTGAGGATTGGAAGAAATACAATTAAACCAAGCCTTCGCAACCATTCCACCCTGCGGGAGCACCCACGTGCGGGACGGGGGAGCTGGGAGGCGGTGGGGGCGGGGAAGGGCCAAGTCCCTTCCATTTCAGGCCTCTAAGAGGGAGAAGAAATAAGGCTGGGCCCCGAGACCTCAAAGATAAAATTCAAACGCAGCTGAGTTGAATGAACCCCGGCTCAGGGGCCAGGAGCTGGGTTTGGTAAGGGTTGGTGTAGGGCAATGACCCCACATCCATGTGAAGTTGAAAACTGGGTCTGCCAGAGATAGAGAGAGCTGGAATTACCCAGAAGCTGTTTCAGGGAACAACCAGCCTTCCACACTAGGGCCTCTGCTACCCCTAAGTATGCTCTCATCTTATTGAGGCAGAGTTTCTCCCCAGAAAAATATAACCTCCTGATTCCTTGCTAATCAGCCCTCCTATCCAGAAGGGCTCAAAGGCTGGTCTCCTTGCTCTCCTTCTCCAACACTTAACAGGAAGGGAGGCTTCAGCCCAGTGGCCTGCAGCATTAAGGTCCACATCGCTAGGCAGAGGGGATTGGCTGGGCCTTTGTTCTACAGTCAACTCTTCTGCTGCCTGGCTGCCAGGGTGTGGGGAGCTGGGTGTAAGGAGGCGGTGACCTGGCAGGAGTCCGCCAGACTCAGAACTGAGCCTTAGGGCTCAGAGTAGGGAGTGTCTGTAGGCTGCAGCTTATGGAACCCATCTTCTGCTCCTCCCCTCCAGGACTGGAAAGGTAGGCTGTAGGGAAGGTGAGAGACCTAGGCAGGGAATACCAACAAGCACAAAAAAGAAATAAAATAGGGGTTCTTTTCAGAGAGAGGGTGGGTTATGATCTCCCCTTGGCAGTGAGGACAGGTTCTGGGATCACAGGCCAGGAAACTGCCAGGAAAATGAGGGACCTGGAAAAAAAAAAAAAGAAAAGAAAAGAAAGAAATCCCAGTGGAGGAGAGAGGGCAGAGCAGGGGGAGCAGGGCTTAACCTGGACGCTGTTTACCGCTGAGCCTGCAGCACCACGGCCTCCGAGCCCGCCTGCCAAGGCTGAGGCCCCGGCACCGAGTGGGGCAGAGCGTTGGCCTCTGACTCCGGGCCGCTCTCGGGCCCTGATGCCTCCCCGACCAGGCTGGGGATGTCTGGAGCTGTGGAGCGTCGGCGCAAACCCAAACGGCCAGAGCCAGGGCCGCCCTCCGGGTGGGGGCTAAGGCCAATGGGGGCTTGCACTAAGGTCGGAGGCGCTCCCTCCAGCACCTCCTGCGAACGCCACCTCCCGGTCCCCGAAGACTGGGGCGAGTGTGGTCGGGCCATCAGGGCTCCCGCCCGCAGCCGAGCCGCCTCCTCCTCGGTTACAGCACCCAGCGCCAGGCTCATGCTCCGGCCCAGCTCAGGCCTCTCGCTGCCCTGTGCTCGGTGCCGGCCCGAGCCCTTGCCCCCTGACCCAGCGTCGCCGCCGTGACCGTGGCCGCCGGCCGCTCGCGCAAAGCGCGCCAGGAGAGGCCGAGGTAAGCGGCGGGGGCTGGGTCGTCGGCGCTCGGGGCTGGGCGCGGGAGCCGGACGGCCCGGGGGGCTGTCGGAGTTGGAACCCCGGGCCGCGGCGGCGGCGGCTGCGCGGCCCCAGGGCCCGGTGAGGGCTTGCACGCAGGTCCCGTGGCCGCGGGCGGCTGCCAGCTGCAGCGCCGTGAGACCCGCTCGGTTGGTGCGGTCGAGGCGCAGGCCGAGGCGGCGGAAAGAGCGCACCAGGAACTCGAGCACCGCCCCGTGGCCGCACGCCGCCGCCCACATCACCGGGCTGTTGCCCGCGGAGTCGGCCGCCTCGGGGTCGCCGCTGAACTGCACCAACAGCTGCACCGCGTCCAGGTGGCCACGCTCGCAAGCCAGGCTGAGTGCCGTGCGGCCGCGCTCGTCCCGCAGGTTCACGGCCGCACCTTGCTCCAGCAGTAGCCGCACGAAGCGCGAGCGCAGCGCGGGATCCGGCAGCCCCACGGCTACCATGAGCGGCGTGCGGCCCTGCTCTGCGCGGCAGTCGATGATGCTGCGGTCCAGCGCATCCAGTACAAAGCGGGCCAGGTGCACCTTGCCCGCCTGCATGGCCTCCAGGAAGGTGCGCGTCCCCGCTCGGGGGCACAGGTCCTTGGGCTTGAGCATGGCCCCGGCCGCCGCTGCCAGGCGGCCCGGCAGCTCCGCACGGGGGCGCCCCTGGTTCCCGCGCCCCGCCGGGCTCTGGGCCCCGCCGGGGCTCCGGTGTGGCTCCCTCCGCGCGTGGGCGGCTGCAGCCGAGGGTCCCGACGTTCCCACTCTTGTGCCCCCGCGGCTCCCGCTTCCCCGCCGCGCCTGGGCCGCGCCTGGGCCGCGCCTGGCGTCTCGCAGCTCCTTCCCTGGGCTTCCCGCCTGAAGGTGTAGGTTGCTCGCTACTCTGAGCTCGGCGCCCGGCCCGCCGCGCTCTGCCCCCTCCTGTCTGTCCCGCTGTGTTCCGCGCGTCCGGTGCCCCTCCGTCCCTTGTGGCTTGGAGCCGCGCCACTCACCCGCACCCGGGGCAGCCCCCGCTCCCCTGCTGAGACGGTGGCGCCCGCCGAGCGCGCCTGCCTCCAGCCCTGGCGGGGCGCGCCGCTCCTCAAGCTGCTGGCGCCGCTCCTCCGCCTCCTCCCCGCTCGCGGGGGCCGGGCCACACCGGGGCGCTTGCTCCTTACTTGGGGGGCTCAGCGGCGCGGGAGCCGCCGCCCGCCTGCGTAGCTGGCTTTATAGCCTCGGGGGTCTCCATGGCGATGGCTGCCCTGGAAGCCAGCTGAGCCGTCAGGGCAGGGACGCACGGGGCGGGAGAGACCGCCCCTGACCCCCACCCCTTCGTGGGCCACGAAGTCGGGGAGCGGCTCCTCCTCCGCGCTCCCCTGGGGCTGCGGCGGCGGTTGCGGGGCGGGGGCGCGGCTGCTCGCTGGGGGCCACATGCACCAGGCCAGGCCAATCCCAGAGTCACAGTCGTCTCTTCCCGTCTCCCCGCCCTCCGCCCCTACCGGAGTCGGTGCCCTCGGCTCCTTAGAAACTTAGGACCTGGGGCCCGTCGCGGAAGACGGAGGACCGGCCCCCCCCGCCCCCGCCGCCCCGCGGTCCAGGTGGAAGCAAGCGGGGCCCCGTGAGCGCAGAAGTGGACCATTAGCGAGCGGGGAGCAATTGGCGGGGGCGGGGGTGCCCGTGCTGCGCGCAGGGTGGGGGGCGCCTATGCCGGCTGCGAACTGCCACTCGCAGTGTAGCGAGTCACGCACTCACACACCATTGTTCCTCCCGCACACGCTCGCTCGGCGCGGGGGTGGGGGAGCGTGCGCCCTCCAATCTCCGACGTCTCCAGCCCCGACCACGCGCCCGAGCGCCAGCTCCCGGCGGCTGACAGGCAGGCGGAGCGGAGACGCGGCGCCCAGGGCGCGCGCCTGGGGGGATTCGAGAACGCTGCAGCCGCATCAGCGCCCCCGCGCCGCCGCCCCGCCGCCTCGGGGCCAGCCACCACCCCGGAAAATGTGAGAGACCTACGCGCAAGGCTCCCGTGTGGTACCACCCCCAGACCACCCGGCTCTGATTTCGACTACTAGCTGACCCCTCGGGAAGGGCAGGAGAAGAGAGCCGGAGTCACAAGGGCGTGGAAAAACCACCGCATCCCCTCTGCCTCCTGAAGTGCGGGGCGGGGGCGCTCGCGCCTCGGTGGAGGTGTTGGGGGCAGTCAGGGCTCCTCGGGTTGGGGCAGAGGAGGGTAGGTGTACAGGGGTGGAATGAATACCTGTAAAGTGTAAAGTCAATCCGTTCTCAACGACAGAATTTACTGAGACTTCGTGAGCCAGGTACTGTGTTCCCAGGTGTAGGAAATACAGAAGTGCAGTTCCAGGTAGAAGAGACCTTCCTCTCAAGCAGCATGACAAGACCAGGACAAAAAAGGAGTAGAGGCTACCGAGCGCTGAATACATCTGCTAAATAGAAAACCAAGCCAGTGCGTGCAGGAAAAGGTGGAGTTGCGGGGTGGGGGTTTGGGCTCCAGGATAGTCTGAAACTAGGACTTCTGAGGTGGTCTTCAAGGATGTGGGGGATCTGGCTGCTTTGGAAAGAAGGAGAACATTCCAGACAGGGTTACTGAGGCAAGGACATGGAAGCAAGAAAAACTTCTAGGGGATAGTACTGAGGGCTGCTCTACCAAGTACCTTCCTATGGACAGCAGGAAATAAGGGAAATAATGAAGGTGTCCCGAGCCTGGTCAGGGCCGCCATGAGATGCTCTGCAGCAGGAACTCCTGTGGGGAAAGTTCTGGGCAAGGACAGGATTTGTCTCTGGGAAGGAGACAGTGGGCCCAGATGGATGAGGAGGAGCAAAGTGCACACAGGGCCCTGCACTCCAGGCTTCTAGGCTTCAGGGATGCCCACCTGGCATCCTGGGCCCAGCCGTGGAGCAGGGGCTCCCGCTTCTCTCCGTTCTGGGGGGCGCATGTAATGTAGACCTGTATATACTGTCAAGCACCGATCCCCTTTATCTTTTTTGCATTCCTTAATCCCCCTGCTCTGCCAGGTTTTTCTCATGGTGTCACAGAAAGGGCACAGCGTTTGACCTCGGAGTTAAGTCCCAGTTCGGAGGCATTTACCAGAGTGTGGTTCCAGGCCTGCACAGTCTTGTCTGCAAGATGAAGCCGACAATACTAGCCCTGCCTGCTTCCGGCAAGATCAAGCTAGAGAGTGTCAGAGAAAGAGCTGCATGGTTATTCAGAGTGTAGAAAGCCCAATCTCACCCCCCACCCCAGACATGGGGGCCACCTGGGGTGTCACCTGGAGGTGGGTATAGACTCTCCCACCTCAGTAAGGATGCAGGAAAGCTCTCCCTCTACTCAGCAGAAGAAAGGCTTTCCTTCCCTTCATGACTCAATTTCCCTTTTCTGCAGCATGAGGGAAATTGCTTTCTTCCCTTCTTTCTGTTTCCAGAGTCAGAGAAGGAGGTAACCGTGCAATCTGTGTGTGGCAGGCTAGCCTGACAAGCCGGATGGTGACACACCCCAGGTGGAGGAGAGAAGCAGTGGGAACATGGAATGGACACCTGCTTGGTCCGAAAGAACTGTGGCCTCTCCTCCATGTGAGCTTCTCTGGGACAAGTCTGCCTCATCTGTGTCCCTGTTCCTGGGGTGGATGGAGACAGTTCCAGAGAAGCAGAGGAGCTGGCATAGGTCCCTGTCAGGGAGCGCCAGGCTGGCTACTCTATAGAAACAGCAGCCAGAGCATTCGCACCCCCTGGCATCGCCAACCCAGCCAGGCCCATGGCGGGATGGGGGGATAGTGCCAGGTTTCAGGCCCTGGAGCCTTTGCTCTGACTTTTCTGTAGGCTCAGTATGTTCTGAACAGAAAAGAAATAGCAAAACTGAAAGAAAAAAAAAAAGCTGAGCATGTGCTGCAGAGCAGGAGGCCCCGACAGCCGGAATTAGAAGCTGTCTCTTAGGGAGCTGAAGGCTGACAGGAGATGGAGCTGAGGCAGGGAGCAGGCAGGCGCCGGGCACTCCCCTCCCCTCCACCTGCTGAGCCTCTCCCCTTGCAGGCCCCAGGGTGGCAAAAAGGCTTCGTCCCAGGGGTGCTAGGCTCAGGTCTGCAGTCTGTCACTCTGTCTGCAGCTGGCCCCCTCCTGGACCCCCTTCTTTCCTCCTCCAGTGTCACCAGCCCCCTCAACCTGTCACGTTGCACCAGCTCAGCAGGGCTGGGCCTGGTGGCACATGGCTGGGAATTCCAGAGAGCTGAGGGGGGGTGTGTGCAGGGGGGTGTTGAGTCAGCAGGGGACTCTGGTATCTGAGTCAGGGACTGAGAAGCTGGGCAGAGACCCTTCTCTTGATGTTAAAAGGTGGAACTGAGACACAATGAATGGATAGGGAAGCTTGGCCCAGCCCGCACAGGTAAGACAGCAGGAATTCACCTACTGGGGCCCTCGGGGAGGGCAGTAACTCCTCTGCACATCCCTGCAGCCGGAGGGTAACTCATCTCCAGCATTTTCCCAGCGGGCAGAACACAGGGAGGTGGGGAACTGGGCCTGACCTCCTGAGAAGCCCCCAGCCTGCTGTGCAGAGGCCTCTCCAGGAGACAGGACCGCACGTCTAGCCCGCTTCTGGGCTTCCCCGCTCCACAAGGAGGGCCCAAAGACTGCCCGGCCTGGCTGAGAGGCTATGGGAAGGCAGTCTCTCCTTCCTTTCAGCAGTCATTGGGAAAAGCTGGGGACTGCCCAGTGGGCTCTCTTTGGCATATGCCCATGTACCTGGGCCACTGAATTCCTCTAGCCTGGATCCTCATCCCTGCATGGTTCTGCCCCTGGGTCAGCAGGGAGATGGGGCAGTTAGGTGCCCAGTAGGAGGGCTAAAGACAGGGCACTGCTCTGGCGTATGAGTATCCCACCCTTGGCTGCATCCAGTGTGACTGACTGCAAGCTGGGCACGTCAATGACAGGCCTTACTGCTGTGAATGAGCAGGACTCCTAGTCTTAACCTGCAACCAGGGAATGCTAGGATCCCAGAGGTCAGGCCCCCAGAGGGATGGAGGGCGGTGGTTCTGTTTATTTTCTGAAGGCACAGGTGCTCAGAACTAATGGCATTTGTTATAACTCTGAAAAGAAAACAACCTCTTCCCAGAATCAATCCCCGCCTGGCCTCTCCCAAGCCAGTGGCTGTTCCCATCTGGGATCTGGGGCTATGGCCATAGGTGCAGTGAACAGCTGTCCACAAACCCCTTTAGAGCAAGTGTTGGGTTCAACCATAACCACCTAAGAATCTGACCACTCTAGGTCTGCCTAAAGGGGCCCAGGTGGCCTGGAGGTTCACAGCTCCCAAGAGGGAGGGGAGCCCCTTGCACTAGGCTCTTCTGCTGCAGCCCTGAGGGTAGAGACAAGGAAGGGCCACTTATGGGTGGGGGGTGGAGAAGAGGGATGACCTCATTTTCCAGTGGTTGTGGCATCAGGGTAGGCAGAAGAGGAAGTGAATCCCCTTCATGCCCAGAAGCAGGGCCATTCCACTGGGCTTTGGAAGAGACCTCACCCTGGGCTTCAGCAGCCAGGTTTTTTGTTTTTTTTTTTTTTTTCTCCCCAGGCCATTTCATTTCAGGAGCATACTACCCCCTGCCCCCCATTTCTTAGCTGTAGAACAGAGGTCAGGCTTAGGCATGAAACATTGGGACAAGGCTCTCTTTAGTAGGTGTAAGAAAGAGAAAAATAAATAAATCTCAAAGTGAGGAAAGAAAATGATGCTGACCTTGTAAGGCAGCCTGAGTGGGGATACATACTAGGAAGTAACACCCCCCCACCCCAGGCCTAGGAGAGTGCCTCAAAGGCCTTCCTTAGCCCTCCTACTAGCCAGAAGCCCAGTCCTCTCAGTGGTCAGACAGCTGAGGCAGCTTTTCCAGGTCAGCCTCCCATCCCCCACAGGCAGGAGGCCAGGGAAGCAACCTCGTCCTGGGATCCTGGAAGTAGCCATCCCCAGGAAGCTTGGACAGAGTGCCGGGTTCTGTATTAGGGAACTGACAAGGAGGCCAGCTCAGGACAGGTCTGTGACGGGACCTCACAGCAGGAAGGTGTTTGGTGTTTGATCCTGCTTGAACTAGGGGTGCTAGAATGGAGGTTCCAGGCAGCTAGACCTAACCCTCCAGGTGAGGACAGAGTCCAGTGTGGGGCACCCCTAGTTGCACACTAGGGAAGGTAGAGTGAGGCCAGGACCCCATTCCCTGCCTCCAGTCCATATCCTTTTGCCCTCAACAAATATGTGACACTTATTCAGAGGCAGAGAAGAAGGATGAGGAGTAGAAAGTCAGATTGGAGAGGACCTCTAAACCTCAAATGGACCCCTGCCCTGATGCTACCTGGTTCCTGCCTCCTCCTTTAGCCTGGCTGTTGAGGAGGGGGCTCCGGAGTCCAAGAGAGCCCCAGCTTCCCACATCCTTCGAATGCCAGGGCCTCTCCTCCAGGGGGTATGGAGCCACATCCCAGAGAAGGGTGAATGTCCTTACAGAATGTCCCAGAGACATGAGGGCATCAGAGGCGGCTCTCCTGGGCACCTGCCTTTGCTGCGAGTGGGTCCTGCTCACACAGCTCCCGGAAGGCCTCACAGGGCCTCTCAGGCATGTCCTTGGCCTCAGAGGGGAAGCAGCTCCTAAGGCAGGCCCTCACGGACTCCTTCACCTCGGCCTCCAAGCCCTTCATCCTGGCCTCGTACTCTGCCAGAGCCTCCTGCTGGAACTGTGGGTACAGCAAGACCACCGCCTGGCTCAGGAGGGGCCAGCTGCCCACTCTCCCTCCCCTGGACAAACAAGGAGATGCCCCGTGTGTTCAGAGCTCCCAGGAGACCAAGGTGGGAGGTGAGGGGTAGTGGAGGCCATCGGGGAGCCTCTCAGGGAACGGGGTGCCAACCAAGCAGAGGGATCTGTAGAGCTGCCTCCCCTTAAAGGGCCTCAGGACCCCCTGGGAACCGGGCCTGCAGCCCACCAGTGAGGGCTGAGTCCCCTTCCTGCCCCCACCCATCTCCAGACTGATGGCTCCCAGGGTGGGCCAACTCTGCTGGCCGCCAGGGTGGTAGTCTCTGTCACCTGCTTTTCCATCTCCCGGATCTGTTCCAAGCAGGCTGCCTGCTTCTCCTCCAGCTTCTCCTGGTGCTTCTCCAGGCTCTCTGTCATCTGGGTAGGAGTGAGAGGCAGGGAATCAGGACAGCACAGACGGGCAGCCTGGCTTGGAATGCAGCTACAATCCCAGGTAACCAGCTGTAAGACTTTGGGTGAATTTGTTAACCTTCAAACAGTTCTTTTAAATTTATTATTAAGGGATGCCTGGGTGGCTTAGTGGTTTTTTTTAATAAATTAATTTTTTATTGGTGTTCAATTTACCAACATACAGAATAACACCCAGTGCTCATCCTGTCAAGTGCCCCCCTCAGTGCGGCTTAGTGGTTGAGCATCTGCCTTTGGCCCAGGGTGTGATCCTGGGGTCCCGGGATCAAGTCCCACTTCAGGCTCCCACATGGAGCCTACTTCTCTCTCTGTCTATGTCTCTGCCTGCCTCTCTCTCTGTGTCTCTTGTGAATAAATAAATAAAATCTTAAAAAATAAATAAATTTATTGTTAATAGTCCCAGGGGAGGAACGCCTGGGTGGCTCAGTGGTTGAGCGTCTACCTTCAGCTCAGGTCATGATACCTGAGTCCTGGGATCGAGTCCCATATCGGGCTCCCTGCATGGAGCCTGCTTCTCGCTCTGCCTGTGTCTCTTCTTCTCTCTGTGTGTCTCATGAATAAATAAAATCTTAAAAAAAAAATACTCCAAGGGGAACTTTAGGTCCATTCTCAGCAGGGCTTTCCTTCCTCTTCTGACACCTTGGAGCTTCAGGAAGCCCCCTCACTCCCTCCCAGCCACCCACACCAATCCCATCCTTCCCTGGCCAGCTAGTCCATATCACTTCCATCCAGTGCAGCTGGCCAGAGACAGATCCCTTTGGGCTAGTACTCTAACCTCCACACAAAGACCAGGACCCTGGGAAAGCTTAGGGGTTCCTCCTCCCCTTCATTGCCTCTTCCCCTCCCTGGCTTCATGGACCACTCTTGACTGCACACCTCCTAAAGGCAATGTAAAGGCCTGGGGCCACCCCTTCCCTCCTATGTAGGGTGTGAGCAAGTGTGTTTGAGTGTGTGTGTGTGTGTGTGTGTGTGTGTGTGTGTGTGTGTGTATGAAGGATTCAGCTCTTACACACCTGCTTAATGACTTGCACCACCTCCTGGATGTGGGAGTTGTTAATCTCTCTCTTCAGCCTGTTGGGGTGATCAGAGTTTCAGAGAGGGCAGGAGGCCCCTAGAAAGGGTTGGGTAAGACCAGGTCTCTTCAGGGTGTAGACAAAATGAGAACTCCACCATAGGGGTAGAACCAGCTAGCCGGGATAAATCATAAGGAACCAAGGAGGAGGTGAGGGGCCACTGGGAGCTCCAGGGGCTGTCTGAGGAGAGGGCCTGCTCACTAAAACACACTGTCCTTCACGGCAGGCAGGGGGGAAGCTGGTGTCCCAAGGTTTCACCTCCCTGTGTGTATGACGGGTTTTCCCTGAAATTCTCCTCTCTGCTCAAAGGGTGATGGCTTCTGTGTTTTCCCAAAGGACATTCTGATCAGAGGCAACAGAAATGGGATTAACTTTCCAGAGCCAGGGGACAGGCACATCTCTGGAAAGCGAGTCAGGATCCACTTGCAGGGAGGTCCCTTCCCACCTGGAATGGTCCCTGCTCAGACCCACCCTGCAGTTTGAGTCCTGGGCCTCCCTCCAGGGCTCACCTTTCCTGAGCCATCTTGTCTGAGGTGACTTTGACCATGGCCTGAATCCGCTCCAGCCTCTTGGCTTCCAGCTTTTTCTTCATCTCTTTAGTGTCACTGCAGAGAGACAGGTATCAGGAAGATGTTCTGTGGGGCCGGAGCCCTCCTGGGAGGTGAGAGTCAAGCATGGGTGGGAGGCAATCCTACGTACGTCTCCAAGGTCTCCTTGAGGGTCTTCAGCTCTGCAGCCTGCTTCTCTCTGGCCAGCTCCATCATCTTGGCGATTTGCTGTGGGGTGGGGGTGGGGGTGCAAGTGCAGGGACAGACTTAGCTGGAGAAGCCCTTTGCCCAGAGTTTGCCGGGGAGAGGGGAGGGCGGTTGGCTGGGTTGGGGTCCCCGGGGTCCCCCCCCCCCCGCACCTCAGCCACGTGCTGCTCCTTGCGCTTCAGGATGCACTCGTACTGCTCCTCGCCCTGCTGCAGCAACTCCAGCTCCAGCCGGTCCTTCAGCTCGCGCGCCCGCGCCTCCGCGCCCTCGGGGCCCTCGAGGTCCTCCTGGGGCGCGGCCCCGGCGGCCTCGTCGCAGGGCAAGGTCCTGCGGAGGCCACGTGTGGGCAGGCGCTGAGCCCCCGGCCGCCCCCGCCCGCCGGCGCCGCGGAGGGCCCGCCGCCGGTACCTCTTCTTGCGGGAGCCCTTCCCGGGGCCGAGCCTGCGGCCCCCGCAGCCCCCCGCGCCCGGCGGCCCCAGCCCGGCCAGCTGCGCCGCGCCCCTCTGCAGCAGCTCCTCCCGGCGCCGCGCGCCGCGCCGCTCCAGGTCCCGGAGCTCCTTCTCGTGCCGCCGCTGCAGCTTCACGATGCCCTTCAGCTCCTGCAGCTCCTCCGGGCTGGCGGTCTGCGGCTCTGCGGAGGCCGGAGCCGGGGTGAGGTGCGCCGCCGCCAAGGAGCCCCCCAGGAGGCCCGGACCCTCCCCGGGCTCCTTCCCAAGATCCCTCAGACTCGCCAGGCCTTACCCGCAGCTTCTTTGGCGGCCTCCTCCCTGGCCCTGGCCCGGGCTGCTGCAAGAGCCACAGGGTGGGCTGAGGGGTGCCCGGAGGTGGGTGGGGGAGGGTTGGGGTGCCAGGTTCTGGTCGGCTCCTCCCTGCCCCCTGGGGAGGTGGCACTATGGGCCCCCTGCAGCACACTTTCCCAGCGCTAAGGCTTCCTGCAAAGTCACTCCCATCCCAGGTGAAAGTCTGTTCTGGGGAGACGGTCCTGTGGGTACCACTGGAAAGGTCGAGGCCCTTCCAGTCCGTGGGAGGACCCTGTAGTGCATACCTGCAGATCCGTTGCTCACTGGGGCCAATGGCCCATTGAACTGGCCTGCAACTGGACTCTCGGGGGAGAAGGGTTTCTGTGTAGGGAGAGCGGATTAGGAACAAGGCTCCAAGGGCTCTGTCTCCGTCTGGTCTCTCAGCCTAGGACCCTGCCCCCTCCCTCATCTTCCCTCTGAGAGGGCAGAGCTACTGGACCAGGTAACACAGACCTCAGGCAGAGCTCCCATGGCTTCCTTGAGCTTCACAGACTTCTTATCGTGGGCACTGAAGAACTTGATGGGATTGGCAAGAGCCACGGTGAGATCTGGGTGCATAGGGGCATCACAGGGCCTGGTATGGTCCCGTGCCAGGAAGCCTCCCCCATCCTCATCTATTGCAGGATATGCTGTCCTGCCCCACTCTGGGGGCTGGCTTCAGGAGAGAGAGGGGGAATGGACCTGGGTTCCCAGCATACTGTGGGCCACCTACCTGCCCAGGTGTCAGGTACATAGTCCTTCATCTCCAAGAAGACAAAAAGTGCAGGCATGGTAAGGGGCATGTTGCTCTCACTATGCAGGCACAGATGGTGGTAGCCTGTTGGGCATAACAGGTGGGCAGTAAGCCATGCCTGTCGCCACCCAGCACTGCACAAGAGCAGCCTGGTACTTAAGACCTTTGACTTTGGAATCTGAGAGGCCAGAGTCTGAGTCTGGTTCTGCACCTTCCTGGTTGTGTGACCTCGGGCAGTTTACTTTAAATCTCTGAGATTTTCCTTAGCTGTGAAATGAAGTGAATGGGGTCTACCTCATGTGGTTATTGTTAGGATTAACTGAGAATGTGTTATAAGCCCATCACTCATTTTAAGTGCCCAGTTTATCAGCTACGTGGGAAATTGCCCCAATAGTTCCAGAAAATTACAGACATTCTCTTAGGTGGGCAGAGGCCCTACCTCTGTCAGTTTCCTATTCTTGCCATACTCCATAGGCTAACATGAGAGGGTTAGGTAAGCTCTCAGGGCCACCTCCCTAAAGCTGCTCTACACTCTGGACAGCCTCCTAACACTGACCTTCATCTCAGATCAGCTAGCAACAGTACAGAAGGACTCCATCCTTACCAGAATTCAGGGCATTAATGGGGATGATGCGGTGTCCAAGAAATTTGTTGCCTTCCTCCATTACAGCCACCCTGAGAGAGGCCAGCTCAGGCATCAAGATCTAGGGAGAGTTCGGGACAGGACAAGCTGGGATGGGGAGAGGGTGGCCAAGCTACCCACCTCCCTGGCTTCAGAAGTCTTAGCATCAGTGTGAAAACGTGGCAGGTGTTACCAGATTTGGTGAGGACAGAGGGCACACTCTAGGCCACACACATAGGCATCCTCTTAGCTCATGCCTTGGCTGGTCCACATGGGGGAGAAGGGCTGGCTATGCAGCCCAGGGCTCGGGGGTCCTGGTGCAGACAGCCCTTGACAGCCTTACCAATGAGTATCCAGTCAGGACAAAAGACCTTCTGGACTGGGACTCTGTACCCTAAACTGGGTGTTCCATAGGACTCTGTACCCTGGACTGGGAGTTCACATTTCTACTTTTCGTCTTAAGATGAACACACATGCATGTTTGCATGCACACACATATACACGGATGCATACATAAAACTTGCTCTCCAAGTAAATTTCTATAAATGTGGATTTTGGACTCTTAAAAATTAGAAGGGTAGAGAGAGGAGGAGGATCAAGGAAGTCCCTTTCTTTAGTTCCTCTTTTCTGTGAGTAGAGGCCAAGAAGTAGGGATGGACCGGACCGTAGCCCCTGCCCTGTCCTAGCTTCCCACCTTCTCAAAGACAAAAGGCTCTTCCTTCCAGACAGGATTGATGGAGTTGGCACTGGGTGACAGCCTGGTGCGATAGCGCCTCTTGGGGTCCCCAGGAAGGCCAAAGAGTTCCACTTCCACATAGGTGCGCACACTGCGTTCAGACAGGAACTGCCCAGAGATCACCTGGGGGTGGGGACCCATGGGAGGCTGGCATCAGCTCTCCCACCCAAGCTCTTCCCTCCCACCTGGAGCCTCTAGCTCCTGTAGCTGAAGCATCCATTCTTAGGTACTGTGGAGAGCCCCATCCCGCTGAGGCTGTGTGGCGCAAGGGTTACAGCTAAGCCCTTGGCCACTGGGTGCTTCCAGCATTCAGGGAAGAGGTGTGGGCCTCCCCACCTCACTCCCTAAGCAAAGAAGGAATAGAGCCCTCCCCTGTCCTCCCCTCCCCTCCCCTAGGGCCTGGGGCTCCTGCAGGCCCCTCACTGCCTATTCTTCTCCCCTCCCCCACCCCAGCTTCAGCCCTTCCCCTTGGTTTCCATGGGGACCAAGAGGCAGCCTCCAGTGCTGAGGAGGAGGCAGTTACCAAGGCAACTTGCTACTGCACTAACTGACTTGGGCTGAAGTTTTCAGGATATCAGGGGAGGGGGTTGGGAGTGCAGGAGTAGAGCTCCTGTGTCTCTCTCCTCACGACCCCAGCCCTCCCAGCCACTTGTCCACCCCAGGGCCTTGCCGTAATGGACAGGGTGGTGGCTACCACCACGTCAATGCGGTCCACCGAGAAGGGGTTGAACTGCTTGTCTGGGCGGCGCATGAACTCATGCTTGAGGAGGTAACCACTCTGCCCATTGAACTCAAACAGCGCCATGTTCTGCTGCATGGGCAGGTCTGGAGGGACAAGAGCACACAGTGAGGATGGTGCAGCCCCAGGTCTGCACCCGGTCTCTATTTCCCACACCCGTCAGCCTCTCCTGTCTTGTGAATGGGGAGCTTGGCTGGACTGTGAGAATCACGATCTCTCATGACCCAGCCTCCTTCCTGAGGGTGTCTCATCTCTCAGGAAGGCTCTGCAACCTGGAGTTAGTGGGAGCTAAGCCACAACTGGGGCAGGATCACAGAGGGGGTTGAGGCTGGGGTTCCCACAGGCCCATTCAGGCAAAGCAGCCAGAACCCAAGCCAGCACACTGGCGTCTTCACGTGCATACTGGTGCACGTGCAGTCATATGGGCATGAGCTAATGCATTTATATCCCTAACCGCTCACATGCCCACACGGGCTCCCACAGCCTAGAGGAACATCAGGACACAGGTCTGTTCTAAAGACAACCCCCCCCACCCCAGGAATGAGGTGAAGGTGGGAGAGGCAGGGCGCAGGGGAAGGTTCTTAGGGGCCTAGGAGTACCCTCACCCATAGTCTGGAAGTTGAGGGCAACCATCTGGCAACCAGCATTCCAGAACATCTGGGGCATGTAGTTGGAGGAGTCCATGCGGGTGCCCTTAGGGTAAATGCGGCTCATCTGGCGCTTGTTGTAGCTGCCCAGAGTTTAGGAGCTGGCCCAAGGCCACCCACACCAGGAGGACCCCATAGCTCCCTCTGTGAGCCCTGTCCCCAGGCCTTCCCCATCCCTCCACCCCATCCGGGACCCTGGCTATGGAGGCCTCAAGGATACTCCACAAACTTCACTGAGGCCTTGGAGAGCAGGTCATAAGCCTTGAGCTCTGTGAAGGACGAGATGACATAACTTCGGTTCTTTTCTGTGTGGGCGAGAAAAGGCAGAGGGTCCACGTCAGGCTGGCCGCCCTCCCTCTGAGGTGGCTCCCTCCAGAACGGCGATCCCTCCAACCTAGCACTTCCACTGAGGCCCAGGGTGTAAGGGGCCAAGCTGGTGTGCAGATCTGTGTGAGTCATGGCATGCTGGGAGGTCAGGGTCTGTGCAGGAGACATGCCCAGGGATGGGCCATGTGCCACGGTCCTGGAGAGGGAGGGATACATGCCCTGGATGGCACAGAGGAAAGGAGCCCAGGGCGTTAGGAACAGACTGTAATATGCAGAGAGTGAGCACATGAGCTATGGCTGAACATGAGAGGTGGGGGTAGGGCTGGGAGGTAGACACGGAGTCAGAGAGGCCATGGGTGGGCACAGGTGGGGCTGCGGACTGCAGGTGCAGGGATGAGGAGTCAGTGTTGTAGAGGTATATGCTGCACAAGCATGTGTAGGAAGCGGTATTCACATTGGAAGGGGCACGCACAGATGGGAAGAGCTCAGTGTGTGTGTGTCAGGAGATGAAGTTCAGTAGCATGGCTGTGTACAGAAAGGGAAGGGTGCAAGGGGCAGATGTGCACTGGCCAGTTTTCTCTGCCTGTGGCCCTTCCCAGGAGTTCTCATGCCCAGCGGGGCCGGGGCTCCTGGGCTTGGACCAACCCAAGACACCATTCAGCTCTGGGAGCCACAGAACCTGTAGGAGGCTACAGGAGCCCCAGGCCAACAGGGCTGAGATGGCCTGGCATAAGTGGCCGAGCTGTCACCGACACAGTCCAGAGCATTCTGGTTGGTGCCAAGTTCCTCAGTACAGCACCGGGAACCTGGGAGCCACTGCCACTTAAGCCCTTTGCCTGACTCCTGTGCCGGCTATTTATAGATAGGGCCCAGAGGCCAAGGAAGGGGGGACTCCCTCCTCCTTGCCCTCCCCCGCCCCCATCAAGCTGCTCAGCTTGGACATAGTTCTTAAGGGCCTTCTCCCGAATCGAGCACAACTGCCAGCTTACAACATCCCCCCACCCCAAGCTCACTCACTGGCAGAGAGCTCGAAGGAGATGAATTTGGTGGGTTGGATGTAATTCACCAGGCTGGACATCTCCTTGTAGGCTGTCACCTCCAGGCCCGCTGTGCCCTGGAGAGGAGAGGGGAGGGCAGTGCAGAACCCAGGGAGGTGGCCCACACCCACGCCTGGGGGCTCTGCAGTGGAGACAGCAGAAGGGGCTTGGGGCTGCCTACATACCTCATCCGACTGCATCTTCTTGATCTCTTCCTCATCCAGGTTTCCCGACTCCTCCTCCTCCTCTTCCTCCACCTCTTCCTCCTCCAGCTCTTCCCCTTCCTCACCAGGCCACCCTGCCATACACACTCCATCAGCGCTGGGACTGGGGCCCCTACACATCCCCTCTGGGCCCAGCCCCTCTCTCCCCCTCTAGGTGCTCCCCGACTGCGATCCTTCCCCTCCCAGGCTGACTCACCTGTGCCCTCACCCACAGAGGCATTGGGTGGGCAGTTGCCCTCAGCTTCCCCACCTGATTCCTTCCTGGGGGTTGCTGGGCCAGAAAACGGGTTCTTTTTGTTCTTGATGAGGATCTTGCCTCGGAGATCCTCAGGGCTAGGCAGAGGGATGCCTGGTTTCAGCTGTGGGCGAGGGGAGAGGGTCAGGACCATGTCCACACCTTCAGGGTGAAGCCTCAGCTCCTTCACACCGAGCTAGGCTCCATCTGACCTGCACACTTCTTCAGCCTCACCTCCCACGATTCTTCCCATCAAGTGCTGTGCTCCTGCCCGACCCAAGTTATCCAGTTTCTCAGACAACACTCATCTCCCTCACCTGCCTAGAATACTCTTTCCCCACTCTCACCAAGATAAATCCGGTTTCCCCTCAGATTTCAGCTTGTCACCCCTTCCTCCAGGAATCCTTCTCTGATCCCCAAGTACTCCCATAGAAGCCACTGATTGCAATGGCCCGGTTACTTGTCTGTCTCTCCACTAAATGTAAGCAACCTTTTGGGGGGCTGGGACTGTGTCCTTGTCACTAATATACCCCCAAAGGCCAGCATAGAGTCTGACACATGGTAAATGATAGGATCCTGGCCCCACAGTCCTCCCAGGTAAATCCCAACATCCTCAGGGACATCTGCCTCCTTAACTTGGCTCCCACACGGCTCCAGGCCCCCAGCCTGCAGGCCCAGATGTGCCGCATCAAAGTCCACTCACTGGGAACTTTTCCAAGGGCTCTGTGAGCAGCATATCCCCAAACATCATCCGGCAGTATTCAGCCATCTTGGCCTGTTGGCGGGGTCTGTAGGGAGCAGGAGTGGGGTAGGATCCAGCAGCTCCACCCCCCTCTTGTCCATCCTTTTGGGCCCCTGACCTGGGTCAGGGACATAGGCAGGAGAACCTGGGGTCCCCAGGAGCTTGTGTCGAGACCCAAGAGAGAGCCAGAGGGCATGACTACAATCAGGGAGGACAGGGGGAGGGCAGCTGGAAGCAGGAGGCGGGGGCAGGGGGGAGAATGAGGCTGAACAGGTGTGATACGCACGAGTCCACATGGTTTTCAAATGACAGGATGACAGGATAGGGGGAGGTCTTAAAGGCACTTTCTGCAATGGCTTCAATGGCTTCCTGGAAAAGAAGGGGTCCCAGGTGGAGAGATCCAGCATTTCTCACCCTGCCCTCAGGGGTTCCCCTCTCTACTCCCCAATCTCAATACACATAGAACTGGAGGGCCACTGTTAGTGCTATCTCCTCTGGTCCCCTCTAGTCCCCTCACTGGTCTGAGGCCTCCCAACCATCCCTCCTTTCTGTTTCATCCACTCCCCCAATCCCTGAGCCCAGGGCCCTGACATAGTGCCGCCACTGCCACCAGCTTCCACACACCCAGTCTTACCTTGAAATAGATGTCTGTGGTCATGGTGAAGCCATGGGTAATGATGGGCTCCTCGTCAGCGGGCTTGCCCTTCCAGCAGTCCAGCTCCACACAGCGGCAGCCAGCCAGCAGCACCTGGCGGTACATCTCCGCCGAGGAGAGGCCAGAGAACTGGCCGGCTGAGCCAGAGCGGAGGGGAGAGGCAGGGGCACGCTCAAAGCCAGTCCCACTCGCCCCAGCCCGCTCCAACAGTCTGTCCTTCCACAGCCCCTGGGCAAGCCATGTGAGGGATGGATTCAGGGAGGAGGAGCAGCCACCAGAAGAGGAGAGGTCCCAGTGAGGTCACCCTGGTCACCTGTCAGGTAGGTGTTGTGTGAGGAGTTGATGAAGTAATGGTTGAGTGGCTGCGTCATATCGTGGTGGAGTAGCAGCTTGTCCTGGGACAGGACGCTGTTCTCTGGGCCGCACAGAAACCACACCATGCCCTCAGGTGATAGCTGGCCTGGGGAGCAGGGGACAGCTGTCAGGACCGCAGCCCCCGCAGAGTGAGTCAGGCCCATGGAGAGGAGGGGCTCCCCTAGTCCTCACCCCTCTGCACGTTGATGCCACTGGGTTCATACTTGTCGATGAGGCCCCGCACCTGGTCAGGCCGCGCAGGTGGAAACAGCAAGGAGTTGAGACGGGGGTCCCTCTGTTTCTGGTTGATGAATTTGGTCAGGTGCTCCTTGGTCATGTAGGGTTTGGCCTTGGCATGGCTGCAGGCCAGAGAGGGCACAGGTCTATAGCTCCTGGGCTGGGGAGCATGGACAACTGCCTTCTCCAGAGAAGCCATCTAATCCCCAGCATGACAAGTGGGATTTTAGCCACTAGCCCTTCCCCATGCCCAGCCCAGCTGAGGAAGCTCACTAAGAAGTGAAGATCTCGTCTATTTCTGGCCGAGGACAGAGGTTCATGAGGAAACTCTTGTAGACAGATTCTGGGAAGTCCTCAGGATTGATGGCATCATTCTGGGGGGACAGAATGATCATTCCTGCACTCACCTTCTCAGCGCTAAGAACCTCAAAAGAGGCCCAGCCCTGTGCAAGGGAGCCTGTCAGAGGGAGGGCTCAGGGCAGGCAGAGCAGCATCAAGTATGCTCCCAAGCACCCACTTTTCAACATGCTGGTTGCTGAGCAGAGCACATGCTTAGCTGGTTTGCCTCGCGCCTGAACCTGGACACTGGCTTAGTCTGTTGGCTGGAGCAGGATTGGAACTAGGAATGACCAGAGCAGGGAGGAGGAGAGGTTTGAAGCAGGCGGTGCTGCTGCCAGAGCAGTGGGCTATCTCCCTCCCTCCCTCCCTTCCTTCCTTCCTTCCTTCCTTCCTTCCTTCCTTCCTTCCTTCCTTCCCTTCTTTCTTTCTTTCTTTCTTTCTTTCTTTCTTTCTTTCTTTCTTTCTTTCTTTCTTTTTTTCTTTCTTTTTTCAAGTGGAGGATAAATTTTCCAAAAGAGGCAACTTGAATAAAAACAATGCACCTAACAGCAGAGCCCCCAGATGAATAATAAGCAAAAACTGACAGAACCAAAGGGAGAAATAGGCAATTCAACCCTAATAGCTACAGACCCTAAACAGCATAAGGAACAGCAACAAAAAAGATAAACTGGACTTCATCCAAAAATTAAAAACTTTTGTGTTTGAAGGATACCATCAAGAAAGTGAAAAGATAATCCACAAAATAAAGGAAAATATTTGCAAATCAAATATCCAGGAAGGGGCAATTCAACAGTAAAGAGGCAGATAACCCAATGGAAAGACAGGCAGGAGATTTGAATAGACATGTCTTCAAAGAAGATATGCAAATGACCGATAAACACATGAAAAGATGCTCAATCTCATTAGTCATTTGGGAAATGCAAATCAAAACCACAATGAGATACCACTTCACTCCCATAGGATGAGTCCAGTTTTAAAAAGACAGACAATAACAAGTGTCAGGACACTGGAAACTTCGTACATTGCTGGGATGATTGTATAATGGTCAGTCACTTTGGAAAACAGTTTGGCAATTCCTCAAAAATTTTAAATACAGAGTTGCCACATGACCTAAATAGTCTACCTCTAGGTGTAGAGAATGAAAACATATGTCCAGACAAAATCATGTACACAAAGGCTTGTAGTGGTATTATTCAAAATGCCCAAAAAGTGGAAACAACCCAGATGTTATTAGCTGATGGACACAGAAGCAAAAGGTGGTATACCTGAACATTGGGATATTACTCAACAGTAAAAAGGCGCAAAGTGCTAATAGGTGCTACAACATGGAAGAACCTTGAAACCCTTATGCTAAATGACTGAAGCCTGATGTCAAAGGTCACATATTATATGATGTCCAGATTAGGCAACTTTATAGAAATAGAAACTGCCAGTAGATTAGTGGTCTCCAGGGATTCTGTGCCTTTGTGTTCCATCCCAGAAAAACCCATTAAACGTCTTCCAGGATCATACTGGAAGGTTAACATCAGTTTTTGTCTGGAGCAGAGTCTGAACAAGAGAGCCAGATTGTACCTCCCTAAGACTGGGTCTTGGACCCATCTGCTCCAAGCAAAGATGGTTCAATGACTCCTCCTGGGACATAAGGAGAGCCGGAGAGCCGACAATGAGGATTTGGCCAGGGTGGGAGCTCAGGAGACAGGAGCCCGTTCCTACCCTCTTTCCAACCCCACACTTGCATTCCTGTGACTGATGGCATCAAGGAGTCACCAGCTCGGTTGAGCCGTGACTTGATGAGGAGTAGTCTTCCCGGGGCCCATGTGAACAGGTGACCGATGAGGTCTGACTTTTATTTACTTATTACATTACCAATTCTTATCAGGAGACAAAACTCCATGAAGTACAGGTGGTGCCCTATATGAAAGCTCTGGCCAAGGGGACGCAAGGGTCTGAGATCCACTCCCCTAGCCTGGCACAAACACTGGGCTTGGGGCTGCATCTACCCAGAGGGCTCCTTTTCGTGATCTATATAAAGCCCCTTGTGGATGACCCTACATGCAACTTGTCATTAAAAGTTACTTAATCAGGAACACCTCGGTGGCTCAGCAGTTGAGCGTCTGCCTTCAGCCCACGGCCTGATCCTGGAGACCCGGGATCAAGTCCCACATCGAGCTCCTTGCATGGAGCCTGCTTCTCCTCTGCCTGTGTCTCTGCCTCTGTGTGTGTGTGTGTGTGTGTGTGTGTGTGTGTCTCATGAGTAAATAAATAAAACCTTTTAAAAAATTTCTTAATCAGAGAGGGGAATATCATGTTTTCATGTGTTGAGCTAAAGGCTATGTCCCGGTAGCTTCGACTCTTGGTCAGAGGGAACATCCCACGCACGTTCTGCAGAACGAACCCCTTCCCCACATTTCAGATCCCTGGAGGTTGCCTCCATCCCTGCTGACCTTATCTTGCTCCTCTAGGCCAGAACATTCACTCTCAGCTTTCATTCCAAGACCACCACAATGAGCATGCACCCATCCTGGCTGCTTGCCCTAAACACAGTCCACCATCCACTGCCTCCCAGGGAGTAGAAGTAGGTGGTATAGACCAACCTGTTCTGGACTCAGGCACCTCATCCCCACCCCCCTGGATCTGTCTGGGCCTAGTATCAGAAACCAGTGCTCAAGGGTTAACTGGCTTTTTAGGCTGTTGGCCCTGCTGTGCTATCATTCCTGCCCCTGCCCCTAACTGGGCCTGGCCACTCTGGCCTTTTGTCCCAGCCAGCTCAGATGAGGGGGTGAGCCAAGCCAGGAGAACCACTCACCTTGCCTTTTGGGAGGTGGCAGGCACTGAGGGCAGCTTCTACCCGCTTGCGGTCAGCAGGAAACATCTGGAAAAAACTGAAGGAGCAGAGAAAGCCACCAGGCAGACAGAGGGGTCAGACCCAGAAAGGGAAGGCTTTGAGGAGCTGGATGGAAGTGCAGGAGAGAGTTAGCAAAACTCACTTTTTCACAGGAATCTTCCCTTCGGGGTTGAGCTGCATCTTGAGTTTCACCAGGCTGGTGAGGGCCGAAAGCAGCTTGTTAAGGCCCTGAGACTGGCACACTGAGCCCTGCACCCTAAGACTGGGCAGGCAGGCACTTACATTTTGTCCAAGAAGGTGCTGCGGGAAGCATTGGCCGTCAATGGGTGCTTGGCCAGAGCTAGCACGTCTTCAGCCCAGTTCTGCAGGACCCCGGAGCATGGCAGTCAGACCCCTGAGCACTCAGGTGCCCCCGCCCCCTGCAGCCCAGGCCTGTCCCGTTGGAAGCCCAGGCTACCCCAGGAGCCCAGCCGCAGGCCCGGCGCCCCAGGTGTACCTTGCCCACATTCTCCTTGTAGGAGACAAAGTTGTGGAAGGTGAGGTCCACCATGTCAGGGCCAGACACCACGGTGAGTGTCTTTAGCAGGAAGTTGTTGTCAGGAAAGTCCATGTTGAAGACCTCTCGGAGCTTCTGGCTCTGCAGCAAGAGGTGACATAGTATCAGAAGTGTGCCCCAATTCCTGCCCACTGTGGCTTGCCCTGTCCCTCCCCACTGCACTAGAACTGTGGCCACCTAGGGGGAATCCCATCCGCATTGGAGTGGGGAGCCACAGGCCTCAGCATATTCCCACTCCTGAGTCCAGGGGGTGGAGTGGGGATGGAGGGCCCACAGGAAGAGATTAACCCAGCATGCAGCCTGAGAGTTCTTTGTATTTTGTTTGCCATTTTTCATTTGAAAATGGATTCTTAGCTTCCAGTCTCATGGAATCCTGCTTCCCATCAATCCCTTCCTCTAGTTTTTCTACCAGCATTAGACAAATAGAAGCAAACGAGATGGGGTGGGGGATGTGCACAAACAACACTCTCAGATTGTCTGGGGTGCTCTGCGGGCAGGACCTGGCCACATGATAACTCTGTTCATGGTTTCCTGGTACCAAGAGCTCTGACAAGCTCAGGAGCAGCCACATCCCTTCCTCAACTCAGGGAGAAGGCCCTGCTGCCCAGCCTGGGAAAGCTTCCCCTTGCTTCAGAGATCAGGCTCCCCACCCCCACAGGGACTCCTGCCCTCCCCATGGAGCTTGTGCCTGTGCTGAGCCTGGGCTGCCACTGGGTCTACCTACCTTGGGTATCTTGGCAAACTTCCCAAAGCGGGTATCCCTGATGCTGGTGATATCTAGAAACTCTGTCTCCTGGAGGGTGCCCAGCAGGAGCAAAGAAGGGATGAGAAAAGTCAGTCAAAAACGAAGAGGAGAGAGGAGGGAACTTCCAGCATCCCTTCACATCTTGGCCAACTGCCTTCTGTAGATGCCAGCACTACCTGGGGTAGCCTGGACCCCAACCTTCCCTTCCCCCCATCAGGTTCTCCCTATTCCTGGTGAACCTGCTCCCTTCTTCTGTCCATCCCTCCCCTGGCCACTCAGGAGCTGTGGCCTGTGGTCTTGCCCTCACTATCCTGGACTCTCCCCAAGTTCCCCCTCCCTTCCCTGTATCCAGGTGCTGAGACCCTTCTTGATCTCTCCGAGCCTTCACATTTCCCAGTACCACAGGTAGAGAATCAGCCTCCAGTGGCAGTGCTTTTTCCTCTCTCTCCCCAAGGGATGCAAGCATCCTCCCTCCCAAGGCAAATAGCTGCCGCCCACAGGAAAGCCCCCAGAGCCACCCCTCCAGGTCATTCCCTACCCCACAGGCATTTACACCTCCACCTCTGCACTATCAAAAGGCTGCTCTCATTCAGTGGATCAGCAGGAGCTCCAGGCTGTGGTAAGTAGGGGCTGCCTCACCTTACTCTGATATGTCCAATATAAGTAGTAGCCCTTGGGATCCACACGGAGGATAACCGGAGAAGCTATCGTGGTTTCCTATAGACAGAGGTGGTCAAAAGAAAAAGAAACAAACAAAGACAAACAGGAAAAAAAAAAAAAAAAAAGAAGGGGTCAGCTCTCTGCGCTGAGACTTCAGACCAAACTTCCCTGGCCCAAGCCAGGCCAGGGGTTTCAGAGCTCACCATCTCCCTGAGAGGTGGCTGGCCAGGGAATCTGCAGGTGTATTCTTTGTTCTCCAGAGCTATGGGTTAGGCACAAGCCTTAAAACCTCCAAATCAGGGTTGGGGAGGAGTAGAGAATTAGAGACAGAATTTCTGAAAGAGAGGAGGCTTCTCCTCTGAAACCCCAAACAGAGGTTCTCCCTCTAGACCCCAAAGAGGGTCTTGGTCCCCACCTCTCCCTGTTTTCAAGGGCCACAGCTTAGCCAAAGGAGTAGAATGTCTCTTGGCAAGACAAGAGTGCCACCACCCCGGAAAACTGACCAGCAAGGTGAGAGCTAAGAGCCCAACTCCTGTGCATCCAGGCCTTATACAATGCACCTGCTATCTAGCTTCCCACATGCCCCATCCTCCCTCCACAAACCACTCCCCAGCCAACCCATCCAAGCGTCCCATAGGCACCAGGCTCATTCCCACCTCCGAGCCTAAGAATCCCACTCTCCCCTGCCTGAAATACCTTCAAAGAGCAAGTCTCTCCTCTTCTGAAAAGCTTTCCCTGAAACATGCTACAACAGTGTGTATGTGGTTTGCACAGCAAGGAGCCCATCCAGAAAATCCCCAAGGGCTAATAGACTCCAGAGAAACAAGCCTGTGCTGTAGCATAAGCTGGACCATAAGCTTATATGCTAGACTATGAGCTCAGTGCTCCATGTTTGCTGAATAAATCAGTAAATGATCAACGAACTCGCTTCTAACTTCTTGTTCCACTCAGAGCACAGAGGCTTATCTTTCATTCTGATGGTCTTCATATGCATATAAAACAAGATCATAAAATTGAAGTTTCCAACGAGGCATGATAGTTGCTGCACACAAACCAGACCAAGTGCAGAATTTACAAAGGAAATGGTCAAAAGAAAGGTTCTCAGGCCAGGGATAGTTAGAGTATGGGATAAAAAACACTTTGTGGGGATCCCTGGGTGGCGCAGCGGTTTGGCGCCTGCCTTTGGCCCAGGGCGCGATCCTGGAGACCCGGGATCGAATCCCACATCGGGCTCCCGGTGCATGGAGCCTGCTTCTCCCTCTGCCTGTGTCTCTGCCTCTCTCTCTCTCTCTCTGTGACTATCATAAATAAATAAAAAAAATTTAAAAAAAAAACACTTTGTGAGGAGGCTAATTTTGGAGAAAGCAGTGTTGGAGCTCCACTCCCTTTCTTCCTCAAGGAAGGGTTGGCAGTGCCTGACCCCTCACTTTTTTTTTAAAGATTTATTTATTTTATTTATTTTATTTATTTATTTATTTATTTATGAGAGAGCTTGAGTATGTGCATGTGAGTGCAAGCAGGGGGAGGAGCAGAGGGAGGAGAGAAGCAGACTCCCCACTGAATGTGGAGTCCTACATGGGGCTCCATCTCAAGATCCTGAGATGATGACCTGAGCCAAAATCAACAGTCAGATGCCCACCCATCTGAGCCACCCAGTTGCCCCCTGGCCCCTCACTTTAAGCCTAGTGAGGGATTTCAACTGTACTTAGAAAGCTTTGGTCACCCCTGCAGTTGTGGGGCAAAGTAGACTGGGGTCTGACTCTTGCCCAGGAAACTGGGTGTCAGAGGTACTGAGACCCTGGTTGTGCTAGATGAGGCCAAATCCCAGGTTCCCTTCAGGCAGTGAACACAAGAGTGTGTGCTGGGGTCCAGAGTGGGCCTATGAGAAAGAAAGAGTCCAAAGCCACAGGAAATTGAAGGTCATAAATGGATTTCAAGGGGCTGAAGAGATAATTTTGAGTGACCTTCTGAACAGAGATGGAAGAAGGATCCTTATGTAAGGGATCACTAGCTCAGTGGGGGAGGCTCTCCTCACTTTAAGGAGAATCATCAAAAATGTCCACCAGAGAAAGAATAAGCCTAACCTTCTACCAACCTCCGAAAGCATGAGGCAGTTGGTGATAGCACCTGTTCAATTTGGAACTTGGTACCCCCCCCACCTCCCTCCCCGCACCCCATGGTGGGGAGGCCTTGGAGGAAGATCAGGGAACCCTGCTGCAGGCCTTTGCAGAGCACCTATAGCCTGCCTAAAACCATTCCTAAAAGGAGGAGGGCAGAAGGTGTCATAAGATTTGAGCTTTGAATTATAACTGGCTTCTGAAATAAGACTGGGTTTCATGAGGTAAGATGACCATAGCATGATTGTCTATGACCCAAGAGCAAATGGAATGTCTTGTGACTGGCCGAGTTTCCTTCCATGGGCAGAAAAGCTTCTCCCACCAAATATGTTGTAAAGGGACCATGGGAGGCAAAATTAAGCTGGCAGTCGGTTACATCTTTTGCATTGTGCTTATTCAATATGACATGACATACCCACATCATCTGCCAACTGGGCAAAGCGATTCTGAGCAGAGCCCTGTCTCAAGGGTACATGTGCCCCATGACAAGGCTTAGGAGCTTCCTGCTTCTGGAGGTCAGGATTCTCAGGACATGCTGTGCCCTGTCTCAGGGTGGGGAGTGGGGCAACCAACTACACAGGTACTGGCCTGCACAGAAAGCCATACAGCATGCCCCCACAGCTAATGACCCTCCATCCAATCAGGTTACACACACTTCCCAGAGGAACTGAGAGAGGCCACTTCATTTTTCATTCTGAGCCACTTCCCTCCTTCCACACTCTCCTGGGACATGTCACCACCATGCCACATCGCCCACACCACTCCTAGGGAAGCAGAAAGCGTCTAACCAGGGGCCTCCTACCCATAGTCATGGCAACCACATTACTAAGCCTTGTGCAGCCCAGAATGGCCAAGAGCCCCAGGGTGCCTTAACTCACAGACCCAGAATTCCCTCATACCACCTGGAAGGAGGATGGGCAGCGCTAAAGACCTCCTCTCCCCCAGAGACTTCCAGTTCCCTTGCTGGGATCAGCCCACTGTGATTCCGTTAATGCAGCCTCACAAAAGGCCTTAGATGGCTCATTTCCCTGACCAAGAGAATCCCTGACTTATCACAACACAACATTTTCAGGAGTGAGGAGGACCAGAGTCTGGGAAGCAGGCCCCAGTCTGAGAAGGAACAGACAGTAGAGACAGAGAGGTACAGAGCAAAACAGCAGCTTCCCCGTTTCCTTGCAGACAGACGGGTGGCTGGGAGCTCAGCTGAAAGAAGCTAGCAGAAGCAGAAGTCAATCAGTTCCTTCCTAGGCCCCGGAGCAGAGGCCTCCAGCTCTCACTTAGGGTTCCCCCACCTTTTATGGCCACCCCACAGTAGCTCAGGGGAGAGTGGGACCTCCCTGGGCTAGGGCAGAGCCCTATGGGGAAGATCAAGAGTGGGGGCATCTGTGCTAGGAGTTAGGGACCTTCTGGCACTATCACAACTCCAGGGCACTTTCCTCCCACTAATGCTGAGATCAGGATCCCCCTACCCTTGTCTTGGTGGTTTGGGGGACCACAGACCCAAACCCAAAGAAATTCCCTTCTGTGACCATGCAGGCAGCTCATCCTCTTGTCCCATCCAGACGCAGAGCCCAAGCTCCAGCAGTCCAGGGACATGCAGTCAGGGGCACACCCCCTCACCCCCAGGTTTGTTTATCCAGGCTGTTGTATCAGCTGCCTGGCCAAGCCTCACAGGCGCCTGGTCTCAGCAGACATAAACCAACCCACCACCCCCTAACAGCAGGGCCCCCACCACCCCAGTGCCCCAGCAGCCCACACCCCTGCCCCACTCACATCGTCCCATTTGATGAAGCGCTCCCCTTGGCTCAGATAAGCCTCCACCTTGGGGGGCAGCAGGACAGGGCTGAGCAGAGACATGGTGCTAAGCGGCCCTCTCTGGAGAGGCTGGACAGGCACACGCGGGCAGGGGCAGGCGGAGGAAGGAAGGAGGGCCGGCTGGAGGAGAGCCAGGCTGGCCTCACATGGCACCCGCCCGAGCGGTCCGGAAGTCTGGATACTCTTATAGCCCACGGGTGGCAGTGGCCAGCGGGGGAGCCCAGGGCTTTGGCCAGAGGCTCATCTGCCTTTTAAATCAGGCTCCTCCCACCTGCCTTGAGTGGGGGGCTGTGGTCACTGCTCCTGTCCGGGGAGGTTAGGCTCCCTCAGCAAAGCCCCCGCCCTCACCCCTTGTGCCTCAGCACTTCCTGCTCAGGGCTTCCTTTTCTGTGCTCTTCAGGACTGAGGGGCGGGTCCTGAGGCCTGAGGCCTGGTCACCTTGGAGCTGGGGTAGGCAAGCAGGGTGGGAGTTCAGCCCCAGGGGTGATCTCTGGTCAGGTGAAGCTGAAGGGCTGGAGAAAGAACAATATGGGGGCCACATGGGGATGCTGTCGCCCAGGCTGGGCCTGAGGGGAGGGTGCAAGGAGCTCCCCAGGGGAAGGGACTGCCCCAGAGGTGGACTCTAAAGAATAGGAGTCTCTTCCAGAGGCTGAGGAGGCTGGGACCACTCTGGACAGGGGAGTTGAAGGTGAGGAGGGCCCAGCTGGGGCATTTTGAATAAGCAAAGTTTGCTGAACCCCCAGCTCTTCTTTCTCAATGCTTCCTCCCATGGAAATGAGGTGCAGTGAGGCAATCACACCTCTCACCTGCTGCCATGCATAATTCCTCTTGGCCCTGTGGGCCTGGTGGAGGCCTGGAACCGCCACAGACCAGACATTACTCCACACACAGTAACCCTTGGCCACCAGCCTCCCCTGCACTCCTTTGCCAAGCTGTCTCCTCTGCTCTATGCCCAGGGCCCTGGGTGAGAACACAGGGAGCAGGAGGCCACTTAGAGAAGCCTCAACTCTGGCTGCCTTCTCAGGGCGCATGAACCCAACACTGACCAGGCTCAGGGAGCTCAGTCCCAGCCTCAATCAGCCAGCCACTTCCTCTTGCCTAACCTGCTCCTCTTTATCACCCTTCTTACCTTAGCTGGGGGAGCAGAGAGCTCAGCCTAGGACTTCCTTCCCCTCTTGGGGCCTGCCTTTCTGCCCTAGGGCCCAACTACGTGACCCTCACCCATGCCCTAGAACTGCCTCTGCTGGCCAGTCTGGGCCAGAGCAGGAGAACAGGGGCCCCTGAAGGCTGGAGCTAGGGGGATTTCCTAGGACAAAAATACCCCGCAGATAAGCAATTCCAAGACCAGTAGGGTGGATCCTGTAACGAGACCTGACAGCCTGTGGAAGAGCTCTGGAACTCCTCCATGCTTTCATGCCCTCTGCCATCAGGACTCATCCATCTGTCCCCTCCCTCCAAGCCTTCTCATCTCTCCACCCCACCCTCCTTCCAGCCCTGTGCCCCTCTGGGGGCCCCTCTGGGGCCCCTGGCCTTCTATCCCTGGGATCAGGTTCCCTCTTGGTCTGTTTGAATGGATTTTGCAAGGGAAATCCTTGCCCTTTCCCAAAGACTCTGTACACCTGTCACCTGCAGCTATCCCTGGTCCTGCACCCAAGTCCCACCCTCTTGTCTGCCTGCAAAGATAATCCTCTCCCTCTCCCTCAGGCTGGGGAGGGACAAGAGAGAGGCTCCTCTTGTGTCATGAGATTGGGCATGCCACAAGGAAGGCAGAGATTTCTGTACTCATTACTCTGATCCTTTCACTGTTGGGCTCTGAAGGGCAAGGCTCTAGTCCTAGGATAAAGCCTCACCCATCTTTGCCCAGTGATGGCCTGGACCCAGTTCTCGAGACCCCCAATTGTAGCTTCAGTGGGGCCTGTACTTTCCTCCGCACGTCCTACCTAGCAGCCCTCAGAATGCAAGAAATCCATGTAGCAAGGGGAGCCAGGAAAACCTTCAGCAAAGAGGACATTTTTTCTTTTAAAAAATACGCTTAGGTTTCTTAAAACGTGAAATGACCAAGAAAAATATTGTGTAAATAATAGTGGCGTGGATATGAAGAAAATCAGGGCAGTCACAAAAATAACCAGTTTAGGAAATGTGGCTCCTGGGTGATTGAACCCAGTAGCAGGCGCCCGACACTGTCGGCCCATCCCAGCCCCAGGGCAGAAGGTAGAAGGGTGCGGATGCCCCCTGGTGGGCACACTGGAAAGCAGGTGCCTCCTAGGGAAAGGCTTGGGGATCCAGGAAAGCGGACTCTCAGGGAAGTCACTGGTGAGCCTGTGTCGTGGGCGATCCATGGAGACGTGTTCGCTGCAGAGTTTGGCATGCGTGAGCTTTGGCGATAAGAACTTCTATTTAACGTACTGCTTCCCAAGGAGATGCTGGCACCTAGAACCCAGGAGGCAGGTCTGGAATTCTCTTGCTCACTTGTCAGTTTTGTGTGGGGACCTTGTGCTGTAGTTTCCTAGAGAAGATTAGTAGTGGAAGTTGCACTCTGATCTGCAGGTTATAGCAAACAGGAGAATCAAGTTAGAATGGCAGAGTTTGGGAGTCTGAGGGCACACTATGGTGCATCTTGGGCCAATGGTGAGCTACTTTTGGAATGAAGATGCCTTGGTTGTTGTATCCTCTGAGTTGTGTTTCCCAGACTGTCATAGGGAGCTACACTCATGAACCTAGCCACTGACAAGCTGGTTTATCTTGTGATACTTAACCTTCCTGCCCTTCTACTTTCCCACCTATAAAATGGGGATCAGGATACCTCAAATGGTTGTTGCAAGGATTCAGTGATACACTGTATGTAAAGTACTTAATATGGTGCCTGCACATGAGCTTAATAGCATCATGATCATTATTTATTACTAATTAGCAGACACTGGCAAGGGAAATACAGTTCTTATTACTTCCTCTTCAGTATATATGCCATTCTTTCCACAACAAGTATCTTCACACTCTTGCTTTTTGGATCGCTTTTTCTTTTTTTCCTTAGCAGTTTGTGTGGATTGGGGGCTGACGTACCTTTCCAGGGCAGGCTGAGTTAGGGATGCTCTTGGTTGTAGACTCAAAGCAGGTGGCCCGAACTCATGAAATCATGAGCATGAGGACTCTGCTCATGGACAAGTGCCAGCCTCCCAGAACCTTTAATCACCCCAGCCCCACAACTGATGAGGCAGTGAGAGTGAGGACCACAAGCTGTCTACCAGTCCAGCTCCGTGCCCAGCTGTGGCTGCAGATCCAGCCACCCTCTGCACACTGAGAGCTGGGTGTGAATGGAGGCACAGATAAGGCCGAGAGGTGAGTGCTGGGGCTCTGGTCCCTTGGGGAGGAGAGGAGAGGCTGTCAAGAGTTCTCTGCAAAAGCCCAGGGGGAAGACATGGTCTGTCCTCCCATGCCAAGCCCTTCTAGAATTGTAGAAGGAACCATCTGGGACTTAAAATAAGTCCATGGGATGCCTGGATAACTCAGTGGTTGAGCATCTGCCTTCAGCTCAGGTCATGATCCTGGGGTCATGGAATCAAGTCCCGCATCGGACTCTGTGGGGAGCCTGCCTTTCCCTCTGCCTATGTCTCTGCCTCTGTGTGTGTGTCTCATGAATAAATAAATCAATCTTAAAAAAATAAAAATAAAAAATAAAATAAATTAAGTCCCATGTGGGTTTCCTTTTTTTGTTTTGTTTTGTTAAGAGAGGAGAGGGGCAGGGATCCCTGGGTGGCGCAGCGATTTGGCGCCTGCCTTTGGCCCGGGGCGCGATCCTGGAGACCCGGAGTCGAATCCCACGTCGGGCTCCCTGCATGGAGCCTGCTTCTCCCTCTGCCTGTGTCTCTGCCTCTCTGTCTCTCTCTGTGTGACTATCATGAATAAATAAATAAAATCTTTAAAAAAAAGAGAGAGAGGAGAGGGGCAGAAAGAAAAGGAGAAAGAATATATACATATATTCATATATATAAATTAAATATAAATATGTACATATATTTAATTTAAAATACATATTTATTTATTTGAGAGAGACACCATGTATGGGGGTGGGGTGGGCAGTAGGGCAAGAAGGGAGGGAGAGGAAGCGGGAAAGAATCTCAAGCAGACTCCATGCTGAGCCCATCATAGGGCTGGATCCCACGACCCATGAGATCATGACCTGAGCCAAAATCAAGAGTCCTACGCTTAACAGAGTCACACAGGTAACCCATGTGTGTTTCCCTTTGAAGTGCCATCAAACTTACCTGAAGGTATAGCTGAGTGAGCCCTGGACCCATCCTCAAAAACCCAGATTTTAGTCTCAACCGGCGCAAAGTTTTGCTGTGAGATCCTGGCAAGTTATTACCCGAGTTCCCTCATCTATTAAGCTTGTGATTATTTCTAAGATTCCTTCCAACTCTAAAACTCTTTCTCTTTCTAATCAGAAGGGCCAACCTCGTCACTTTTGTCTCCTGCCTTTCCTCTGAGAGGTGATAAACCTAGAGATGAGAGCCAAAAATGGCAAGGGAGATTGGCTTCTACCCCAGCAAGGTGTTCTTGGGCGCAGTATTCATATTCTCTGCCTCTGTTTATCTGTCTGTGAAATAGACTGGCTTTTCTAAGAGTAAAGGAAATAAGTTAGATGCCCTTCTCCAGGTGGGTGTGGTGCATTGCACCTAAGGAATGCTCTCTCAAAGCTGGCTTTGTCCTTCCTCCTGTGCTGGTCCACCTTTTTATCAGGGCCTGGGTAAAGCCTCAGTGACCAAGCCCCTCACCTTTGTGAGTAACAGGAAGCCAGTGAGGACAGGGAATATGTTGGCAGACACACCCAGGATCCCCAAACATCCTAACCTGCTGGAGCAACAGCCTGAACCTCACAAGGTAAAATGAACAGGGCTTAACTGAGAGATCTGGGCTTGGCTCCAAGGCACCATCTGTACAAGGACAGGGTGGGGAAGTGGCGGCTTAGCAGAAGCACGTGTGAATAAAACTGAGGGTTTGCGCTGACAGCCAACTCCATATGAGTCAAATGAAAAGGCTGCTAACTAAGCGGACAGACTCTCGGGCTGCGAAATTCAAGTACTGAGCCCGGTGATCCTCCATCTTGATATCAGAATTGCCTGGAAAGCTCTGGGAACACCGGGAAACTGGCTGCATCCAGACCCTCTGAGTCT